AATCTACGGTATAGACTGCGATATTTGCATTTTACATTATCAAACCTTCTGATTGAAAAAGTCCAAGTTCTAGATAAACTGGTATAATTTCTCAATCCATATAAATTTTTCTTCACCATATGCAGGAAAACTTAGATGTGCAGTTTTAACTTTCAAAATTTATTAAAATATTATTTTAAAAATTAATTTTTAATTTTTTTCTAAATTTATTTTTTAAGCTTTCCAGCCGCCCTCATAGTTTCCACTTATTTTCTTTTATATATTTTTTATGCAATTTTCTTTTATAATTAATTTCTAAAAAAGACAAAAGTTATTCTCCATTGTTAGGAAAACCGTTTCTTAATTTCACTGCTTTCCTTCTCCGCTTAGCAGATTCAAATATAAAAGGCTATCTCCTCTTGTTTTCTTTCACTGCCTTCCTGGTCTTCATTGCTGCCTCACATATTTTCTTATGCAACCGATGAGATTCACCTTCAAATGGTTTCACCAATAGTTCGGTCTCCTTTTCCGTTTCCCAACATACTTTTCAGCCATTGATTTCATGTACTACTACAATTTAGTAACACTTATCATCTAAATTTAAATTATTTTCTGCAGATTGCATCATGTTGGTAAGATCCACTACATATTCTAGTATCTGCAATTTGTCTCTCAAACCTTGTAATTGAGGAAGCCCAACTTCTAAACCAGCTGGTATGTATTTTTCAATCGCTGTGTATTTTTTTTTTTTTCACCTCTGATTTTTTCTTCTTTCAAAAGCTTGATTTTAATATAAGCTTTTCTAACTTTATCAATAATTATTAAAGCTTAGTATATAGTATATTGTTTTCTTTGAATTATACTCTTTCTCGTCAATCTCCTCCAAAGTATAAAGTTTTAGAGTGCTTTTCTTTTTACGTTTTTAATTTTGTTGTATTTTCTTTGAAATTTTTTGAAATAACTAGAAAATACATATTTGAGCAATTTGTGAAGAAGCCTTTTTCTAGATATATCCTTATTAAAGTCATCCCTAGTTGTTTTGAAAAAATTGTAATTGTTGTCTTCTTTAAATTAACTATTTTACAATTGATTTTTGTCTCATTTTTTGAATCTTGATATGAGAACTTAACTCTTTTTTTTTAGTTGGTACTATCTACCTCTAGTTATTTTAAGGTCAGCTCAGTAATATCAAGCATATTTATTTCTTAATGTACCACATTAATAGGTT